TCAGAACATTTGTGAAGAGCCCACAAGTAGTGACACGTTTGTGGGGTTCTCTGGCTGGCACAGTGGGGATCCGAATGAGTCCTGGGGAGTTATGGGTCTGGATAGAAGATGGAGAGACTGGAGGGATCAGCAAAGGGCTTCAGCTGAAAGGAGGTCTGGTGAAGCGTTGTCTGATTCCAGTTCTGAGGAGGAATTGGGGCAAGGAGTTTCAGCTGGTAACAGGGTGTCGGCTGGTTCCAGTTCAGAGGAAGATTTGTGAATAAAAGTGAGGTTGGGAGATGGGGTTTCTTGCAGTCAGCAAAGTGTTGATGTGTATTCGTGTGAGAGCTGTTTGAGAAGACGTGTTTCGGAAGACTTCTGTGGACCTGCTGTGCTGTCGTTCTTTGTTTTGGCTCTGTGTAAGACCCGGACTGGATTATCATGTTTGTTGCCTTCTCCCTCTTTGACCTGGATTGGATTCACAACGACGACTGTGCCACGTTTGGACTGACTTTGGTAGACAACTCCAGCCTTTCTGTTTGACCCTTCGTGCTCACTGACGTTCTGCTGCGGATTGGAGTGCTTTTTTCCTGCTGACTGCATAGCTTTAAATTTAAACCGGATTATATTCCTGTTTAATCTAGGTTACTTTCCAGGTCCTGTTTTTTGGGTTAACTGTCTTTTTGGTTTGTTTTTGAACTCTCTTGGTTGTGCACTAATAAACTTTATTGCTACTAAATACTGATCTGGCGCTTTAAGGGATCTGTCTTGCAACATAGCATCTCAACAGGATGTCAATCATTGCTTGTATCTACTTATTTGTTTAATACTCTAGTTTCAATAACAACAATAAATGTATTACTTGTCTCTCCCTTTGAGATGTCCCCTGAATGTAAAACATGGTTTGTCATTTCAAATTACTTCAAAACATAATTAGTGAGCAAACCACGGTTTGGTCTCAACTCTACTTTGCCAGCCAATTTGACAGGAATGTCTGTTAATTTCATGTAATGCCAAATTACATATAAACTTCTAAAGATACAATTTGGTATCAATGGAATTCATTCATTAAAGGGTATTTTGACTGCAATAATGGACAGTTCCCTTCAAAAAGGATTTCAACAAATATATAATTTGTTTAAATTAACTATATCGTGAATCCTTAAAACATGAATTGTAAAAAAAAAATTACATTATCTTTTATTCTAATTATTCTGCTGAATGAAACCTGCTTTCAATATCACAATAAACAAAATCACTCTGACATTCCTACACATTTTATTATATATCATAGATTTATACCTGAGTCCTACTCTTAACAAATTACTACTACTTAACTTGGCCTGCCAGTAGCCTATTACTCATACCACTTCAAGAAATGGCAAGTGTGGGTGGAGGAATATCTATCCATAAATTCAGAGGCAGAAGATATTCTAGTACTAAAGTGCTTTTCAATTATATGTCTGGGCACTCTATCTGGATTGCATAAAACTGTCACCATCATTTTCCATCTCTTTATTTTTTTATGTTGGCATATATTTAAACAATGTATTCCTCTGATTTTCTATAAATATCTTGCCTTAAAAACAAATGCATAATTTTAATGAAAGATAATCTTTTCATGCAGTCAATCTAGCTGTTGTGTAATACAACTTCTATACAATCAGATCAATTTATTTCTACTACTCCAACTTTTATAGGAATTATTTCTGTTGTAAATCTGAGTACAATATTACAGACCTTTTTAGAATGGTCGCAATTTATAAAACATCAGATAACTGTCCGAAAACTATGTTACTTCTTCTGAAAATGCTATTTACTAGATATGAAAAACCAAACATCTGTTAACCCCCCCCCCACCCCACTTATGAAGACATGTTTGGATTGCACTGAATTCAATGGGACTAGACTCAGATAAAAGTTTGATAGACAATACTTATTGAAATTGGACTGGGGAGGGAGCCTTGGGTTCTACCCAGCCGCTTTAGGGTTGATCCTTCAGCCACCATTCTTCTGCACTGGAAGACTGTGTTTTCTATTTTGATTAGCTGTGGCCTCTGAGGTTTCAGAGAGAGGACATTATTGACCTTTCCTGGAGACGCCAGTAACTGTACCTATCATGCACTGCTGACATGTAATCAAGGGAAAGAAAATGCCCCCTCTATGCTATTCCCAGCAGGAGATATCAATATATTTATAACGATGATTACAGAAGGAGGTTCACACTAGCACAGGAAGTAAATGCAATGGGGAAGATGAACCACCACTATCTGTACTTGGAATTCTCCAATCTTCTACAGAGAAAAAAGCTTTTCCTAGCATTAACTGAAACACTAAAAGGGGGGGGGGGGTAATGAGGTCATCAGGACTAGATCTGCATAGTTGAACATATTCTCCATCATCTCAGCAAATAAAAAATGGCCTCATGTCAAGCCCTACCATGTGGAGCTGCTCCTTTAGATCAGAAATATTTAAACTATCAGGTAGGTTTTTCATGTTATTAAATAGGATCCACAGAATGGACACTATGAAACTGAGAGAATTTAAAAGAACATCCCTGAAAAAAGACAAGTGGAGAGAGATAATATATAAGAACAATGTTGAGGAAATGGAAATTGAAAAATTAAAAGATATTAAGGTAATTGAATATTAAAAGATCAGTTAATTAAAATCAGTTTCAGTATATGTTTATAATGCCTGGGATCACTGGGGAGAAACCAGGAGTCTTGGAAATAAGTGAGTGTATAGCACACCTGAATAAAACTGTCAACCAAAATATTTAAAATGCCAAGAATGAGAACAGAAACAGAGGAATCAAAACAATTAATATTCTTAATCTAAAATAAAAGTTGGAAGAAATACAAAATATACAACAACAGAATAGGAAGATAAAGGGGGTGGGGAGAAAAAAATAAAATGAACACGCGCCAAAAAGGAAAGAAGACTACAGGATTGGAAATTGTCAAAACAATGAATGAATAACATTACTTCCTCACTCCCAATCGATAGGGATAGCAAAATGTCAAAAAGAAAAACAAAAAGAAAGAGCAATGGGAATATCTGTATCAAGGGGTGTCTTTTTTATTTACAACAAAAGTAATTTTAAATAAAAAAGCTCTTTATTTTGTGTCAAAAGCGTTGCATAAATAAATAAATAAGTATAAGACTGATAAAATAAAGGGAGAACAAGTAGCTAAATAATTTTAGACCAAAAACGGGCAACAGCAACCTCATTATCTGCAGCCCAAGTTGCCCATTTTTGGTTTGCCCCTGGAGGAAGACCCTCATAGAGAACCAACTAGTTGGAATTGCCTGATTTTTCTGCCCTCATGGATATTCCTGATATTCCAGAAAGGAACAATAAGAAGAGAGGTGCTTTTTATGAAACTTTCCCTTGATTTAAGTCTACTGGGAGAAGGCTGATGGCAATACAGTGGGTGGCTTTCACAGTGTTCAACCTGATTTCTCTCTCAATTAGCAGCACACTTATAAAGTCTATCAGCAGGTGTAAAAAAGGTCTTAATAACTGGAGATTTATTGACTATGAAATGATGTTAGAGAACTACACAAGATAGGGACACAGTGATAAAACATTACAATAAGGTTGGACTGAGAAACAAAAACCCATTTTAGGGTGGATTGGCAGTTAGACAAAACTAGATTTTTAAAACAATGCAGCAAGCCAACCAAGAAATGAAAACCAGCAGAAAAACTAAAGCTGAAGAAAACAAGAAATTTGTAATCTGATAGATCTGTTGAAATTGGAATAGCAAAATCAAATTTGGTATACTTGGACCCACATAGACATAGACATAGAGGATCTTTCTGAAGTTGGAATATAATATTATTTCTCAGACTGAGGTATATGAATGACCACTGGTGAGATTAATGAGGACACTCTCCCACATTTGCAGTTCTAATCCATGCTAAATCTTTACAACCACTCTGAAGAAGGCCCAGGAAGATGTAACCTGCACAAAACATTAATATATACGTTTGTATGTACACTTGCTAGCTTTCCCAAAGTATGTTCCCTGAATGCATTTTTAAAAGGAGTGGAAAATAAGACTAATTATATATAAGGTCAACTTATAAACAAGTATATCATGGGAAACTGCATTCTCAACGTTTTCCTTCCTAGCCAGAGATACTTCAGCAATCAGACTTTTGAATAAAACCTGTGTTTACCTTCCAAAGATCAATCATAAAATAGAACCTGTTAAATGCATGATAGAGAGGTGAAAGAAATCACATGCTTTAACAAAGTAGGTAATATTTTTCAGCATTTGAGGCAGTAACTTTTCCAAAACCATGCTAAAAATATTGTCTAGTTTGCTCCTGTGCCATGGCCCTTAAATACCATAGTTCTCCCACATCCCTACTCTTTTTGTCCAGCTTTAGTTCTAATACAGGGTAGACCCTACCCAAATTCTCTATTATGGACAAGCTCTTATTGTTCTAGAAGATCTGAAGGGGGGCATTTCTCCAATTAGCAACCTCATTTTGCTACACTGAAGAACAGAAATGTCATGGACCAGGAAAAAGCATTTAGCCATTTCCCCTTATACTATTTGTCAAATAGAAGCACACATAGGATCATCACAGTTAGCTACCAAGGTGAGATAAAGAGACAAACATCATCTATACTTTTTCCTCTTATACAGAATTAACAGTATTTACACCCTAATCATAGGTCTCCTTAATCACGGCTGGTTTGGCATTAAGAATGACACTGCTTTGTGAGAAAATGTGCATTTTAATTGAACCCTGATATTAGACCTAATGGGAAACATAAGAGAAGCCAAGAGATAGTGCAATGGTGAATGAAAAAATAGGTGGGCAATTATCCCTGAATGACGCACGTGGCTGTATCATGTAAATTTTAGAGACTGACTAAACTGTAAAAACAGAACACTTTTTGCCACACGATTATGAAGATAGATTAGACTGGCACTGCACTAAAATGACATTGCTTTTCACATTTTACATCCACATTTTATGAAAGGCTCACAACCACCTACCTGTTGTTGCACTGGTAACTGTTGTACCACCTGGGTAGGCACAGCTGCTTGACCAGCTACAGAAGTCTGTAAAGTCACTGTCGAACCTGTGTCCGACACAGTCTCTGACGTCTGCATTGTTGTTTCTGTATAAAATTTAAAAATACATACATTTGAGTGCTGTGCTCTTTTTGTACTTTTAATCATTTGTTCTTTCTAAACATAAAGAGCTTTCTCTCCCCAAGAGTATGTCTTCCCTTTAAGCTGCCTGTATAGTATAGAACATGGTTCCTTAAAGTTTTTCTGCTCGCGACCCATTTCTGCCTCATGATTTTATATGGCCCTAGGTACAATGGTATATAAAACAGATATACAATCAAACATTTACTGATAATAAATCAGCACTTGCAAGGCTTCTCAAACAGGCTGATTTTCCTTTTTATGAAATACAGCTAAAACAATTTATGCAGAGTCCATTGTAAAACACTGCATATTGTTGCTAACAGATTTGAGTAAATTCTAAATCGCATTCAGAAAATGTTTATTGTTGCCAAGTTTTTCATGACCCCAACACTGAGCTAAGGAGACCTCATTTGGAGTTGGGACCCATAGTTTAGGAGGCAGTAGTACAAAATATCATCACACAGGCATGTAGCCGGGGAGGGGGGGGGTTGGGGGCTTCAGCCCCCCCCCCGAAATTCTCATGGTGGTCCGCAAGAAGGCCTTACTGGTACATTATGTAAACTGTTATGTTTATTCATATCATGATCTGATCACCATGCTCAATATATCCCATATGCATGGGGGTATTGGGGTAACGATACAAAAGGTTTGCTAGGGTAGACCCTCTTTCCCTCAGACTCAGCCCCCCCCCCCCGAATCAAACTCAGCCCCCCCCCCCGAATCAAAATCCTGGCTACGGGCCTGTCATCATACTTTGAAGTATCACTTGCTTCATTTATTTTACAATCCAAACAGTGTTGCATCCTTAAAATATGAAAACAACTTGATCTATTTTTCTGATCAGTTCTCTGATGGCTGTGTCTTGCCAACCTCTGTCAGACTGTTTTGGGATATATTAAGCTCATCAATAAAAAAGATAAACATGTTTCCTTTAACTTCTCAAATGTAATGTGTATGATTTACTTGCTTGTCTTCTAGTACTATAAAGGGATGAGCAACTCCCCCAGGACCATGTGGCAGATATGCCTTTCACCAGGCCTCCGGGGACCACGATCATTTTCCCAGTGTGCCTTCAATATTGAACATGTCAATCACTCACTGCACTGCAGAGAGCTATGCCTTTCTCTATCATGTGCCTTACATCTGAAAAATTATTTTAATCTTTTAAAATTTACTCAAAATGTCCCCTGCAACCTCTAGGGATGGGAAGGCAAATGCACCATGTTTTTGCCTCCCTGAACTACTGTAGGCAGTTTATGTGTCGCTTTTTAAAAGCCATAAGACTTTGGAACCCTCCTCAGATTAGAATGACCCCTGGGCACCTTTTATCAGAAAGCAGAGACCTCAAAAAAGTTAGTACTGGCTTTTAAGAAAGGTGTGTAACTTCATGGAATATTATTTGAAATCACACTGTTTTAACTGTATAGTACAATGTGATATATTGTTTAAAATTGTACTCTTTTAACTGTATGCTTCAAATGGTTTTCATATGGTCAGCAGTTTAATTCTATTTGAATGTTGTTTTACTTATATTGTGAGTATTCAATTTGTAAGCCTCAAATCCAAATTGGAGGAACAGGTGGGCTATATAATAAACTCCCTGGGGATCTAAAAATGTTGTAAAATTCCATTAATGCCTCTTCAAGGGCAAAGAGGTCATATTGGAGGAATAATTCCCAGTTTAGTAGGATCTTGGAGGCCTCAAACATAGCCCCAGGGAGCTATACTTTCCAACCTGAGCTAGTGTGATCCAGTGTTTAGCCTTAGCGCTATTTCCTTATCCATCCCTTTCTTAACAACTTTTACTGTGAGATATTTAAAATATTCTCCCTTGAAATGAACAAAGAAACACACACCTACTGACAGGGCACTGAACCATCCTCTGTTTCTCTTCTGCATTATTTCCATCAAGACAAATGTCTACGGGAAAAACTGTATGGCAGGAAAAGATCTGACCTTCTGATAAAGTCATTTATTATCTGCTCTGCTCATAGCCTCATCTGGGTATGGGGAGGGGCTGCTTCTGAGGAGTTCTCACTCTTTGTTCCATCATGAAGGATGAGACAACTAGAACCACCAGTGACCTCAGCAAGAAAGGAGGGCAATTCTATTAAGTTCCCTACTGAGAGGATTCTAACCGTCTTCAAGACAACCGCCTATAAGCCAGGAGCAGACCTGACCACCTGCCTCAAAAGACTATTGTCTGTTCTGCTCTTAAACTGATCGCCCATCAGAAGGATGCATCTGTTTTAAAGGGGAGATTCTCTATTTCTTCTAGAGTCAGGTTTGTTTTTATTTCAATATTGTTTTAATAATGACCTTAAATAATTATTTGCCTCTCTGAAGAACTCAGTTTGAGTAAGTTAAAACACAGTGTAAATCATTTTTTAAAAATCATTTGGGGGGGGGGAGAATATCCCCCCCCTCACATAAACTTTTCATTTTTCTTTTACTATTTCCTACTTTACTTTCATCTATAAAATGTTTTCCTACTTTCGATGTGAACACCATATCTGCTATCTATACTTTTAGAAACTTAGCCAATAAAAAATACTAAAAAAAAAAAAAACAGGGTGTAAATCTAAAACTGTATTTTAATTTTTTATTGGAATATTTTAATTTTGTATTTTAATTTTGTATTTTATTGCATTTTAATTTTTTATTGGAATAACATTATGGTTTACTATAATCTTAATACTTATTCAGAGCTGTAGGTTCCATTATAAAGTAAAGAAGTCTGCCCTACACATTTACTGGTAGGATCCCTGTGTAAGTGAAAAACTGCAAATAAAGAAATTGTTTTTATTTTACCTGAGAGAACATATCTCTGAGAATTTCTATATCTTCCAGCACAGCTCTGTGGTCAACTTCTACTAGAAGCTGAATATAGAATTACACTGGACGACCTAGAGATTCAGTTTCTCTAGAAATCTCTAGGCTGCTATGAGTTTTCCGGGGTGTATGGCCATGTTCAAGCTGCATTATCTCCTGACGTTTCACCCACCTCTATTGCAGGCAACCTCAGAGGTTGTGAAATCTTCTGAGAATACTTCTGGAACATGGCCATACAGTCTGGAAAACTCACAACAACCCAGTGATTCGGGCCATGAAAGCTTTCGACAACACAATCTCTAGGTCCTTCAGCATGACTGGAGGACATTGACCATGCTATCACAATGGAGGACCTAGGGATTTCTAGACATAACATTCTAAATCAAATTCATAAATAGTCAAATCTGCAAAAGTAAAAAAATCGGAAGGGTCGCATTACACACTAAGTAAATGGGATCCCTTGCATTTATATCCACATTGTTCCTTATTCAGATCTATATCTTCCCAGATTCTCTGTTCACTTTTCCGGGGTGTATGGCCATGTTCAAGCTGCATTATCTCCTGACGTTTCACCCACCTCTATTGCAGGCAACCTCAGAGATTGTGAAATCTTCTGAGAATACTTCTGGAACATGGTCATACAGTCTCAACATTGCTCCTTATTCAGATCTATATCTTCTCAGATTCTCTGTTCACTGACGACTTCTTTTTTTGCCCTTAGAAAAAACCAATACCTTGTGAGAGAAAGAGTGTTCATGCATGTGCAATTCATGTACACCACACACAGAACACGACTGATGAGGTAATCTTCCACCTCCATTAGTGCTGTTAAAATATTCATAGAATATAAGTTGTAGAAATAGTATTCATTAAGAAATCTTTTATTTTTAATATATAAGAAAAAAAATAGAAATCTGAATTTTTACAAATCTGATTTAAATTTTAAAATGATTTTAAAAAATGATTTTAGTCTAATTTTAATTTTTACTTTTTATCAGCACAGTCTGGAGTGGTAACTTGCCCTAACGGAGATTAAAAACCAATTATTATTTTTCAATGCTTCTTCAATGTAAAGATTGAAATTCTGTTCGCTGATTTGTACCTACTGTCTCTCCTCATTTTCCATCATCTGTTCTTTTTTTCTCTTCTGGTTTAAACCCTGGGGATGGTGTTAACTCCTGGGCTTTGATTTTAAATTTATCCCACTGTTTGAAATGCTTTTCCTACAACTATTTTGATATGCTTCTTTGTTTCATTCTTTTAAATGAGTTTAACACACATATCTATTTTTCTTCCACTTTGCCGTATCATTTTTCTTCCTTTTGTATCCTTCCACTCATTTTGCTACATATACACACATCTGTGAACACTACCAATGCCACAAATTTGAGATGTCCCACTCTTCCACAAGAAAGCTATATATTTCCGAGTTACAAATATCTGGCTTACATAGTCCTGGGGGAAGTGAGAGAAATCTACCCCTAGGAAGGGAAATTTACCTCCTGAAAGACGCATCATGGGGAAAAAATTGTCTCAACTGAATCTTTCTCACCAATTCTTGTTTCCACAACAAGCCAAATTTTTCAAAGTCCAATTATCACAGGGACAGAAAGTGAGGCAAAATCTTCTGAACAGGGACACCGACAGCAAAAGTAATTGACACCTGCTTCTTTTTAAAGTAACAATTAAACTACTGTCTATCAATAATCATGTACAATACAAAATGATAGTGAAAGCAATAAATTGCTCTGTGTATTAAAAATATAACTCCAATCTCTTACATTTAGGAAATATTTTTCAGCCATTGAACATTTGTATATTTTTCTCTTAAATACTCTGCAAAGATTTCACAGCATTGCAAAATACTTTTTTCTAGTTCTAAGATGAATGCCAGTCAGCATGTAGATCTAATACTTCAGTTCAAATTCCCACTTAGTTGTAAAAGTTCAGACTGGTATCTTTCACATAGCCATTTGTAAAATGAACGTGTTCAAGACCTACACCATAACGTTATTCATAAGACCATAAATGTAAGCACTCTGCTTGAGGAACATGGTGCAGAAAAAGTAAGCAATGATGCAGCAAACTCAACAATTATTTTGCAGTTCTCTTTTAAAGTGATGTTTGCTTA